TCTGATGGGCATAGTCTCAGTGGATGAGGGAGGCAGAGAGAGCCTCTGGTACTTTTAAATGCATTGATTTCTCTATAGAGTAGCTGATCATAGCTGATCAAACATGTAACTGATCATGGCTTCCAGGCGGACTCTGTGACTGTAGGACTGCTAGGGATGTTCAGATGTCTCAGGCAAGCAAGGCACTGGAAACAAATGCAAAGGAATCCTTGCGGAATTCATTCATCTGATTTCATACTGAGTCACTGTCCCATGGTGCCGAAATACTTCTGGCATTCGCTCTTGATCTTGATAATAAGGAGAAAGAATTATGCGCCATTAAAAAGTAAGATATGTGTGGAACGGAGAGGGAATCCCTTGAAGACTGTGTTTAATGGCACTGTTATTGTATGATTTTTGGATCTTTTTCACATATTATTATTTAACTCCTTCAGTCAAATTCACTCTTCACTGAGCACAGATACTGCAATAGATTGGTTTCTGGCAAGAACTGCATTGAAAGATTTATGAACTAAAGACAAAATAATGTTTTTGGTCTACAATAGGTGAGATACAGAAAGGCCTCGAGCTCATACCATTTCTCCAAATGTGTTATTCAGCCTTCTGCCTAGGAAAGATTACACACACACACACACACACACACACACACACACCACCCATCCACACTCACAAATACCATGTATGTCATATATGTGTGTCATATCTATCTATCTAAAGCATATATCAGATCTATCTATCTATCTATCTATCTATCTATCTATCTATCTATCTATCTATCTAGTATTCTGTTCTTTCCTGAATTACATATACATTTATTAAAGGTTACGCAATATGTTCTCTAATTATAAAGGAGTTCAGGTAGACTTTTATTTCTTCTTTATCATCTTCCCTTAACTTAACCGTCACCCTCACATAGAGGACTCCTCTGGGACTTCCCTTGCAACACTGTAAACCTCCCTGCCTTCTTCCCATCTGTTCTCTCCACAGTTTCCCTTCATTCCATGATCTTCATCACTCTGGTTTCATTGTTGCCCCTCAGAGTTCCATCGTCTTGTTTCTTCTGTGTACCGTGTCTAAAAGTAACTCTAAAATAAGCAAAATCTTCAAACAGACATTACAGTACTCCTTATGTTCATTTTATGAAAATACAATATAAGCAAAACGTGGTACACCATAGTATAAGTCATTGGAAATCTTGCTTCCCAGGGTCAAGATAGCTGCACTCTGCTCTTTAAAAATTCATATAAATAAATGATTCAATTTCTCACTTAATATGCTACTTTTCCACTTTGGTGCATTCTTGGTTCTTGCCTGAGTTTGGCCAATTAGGCAGAAATGTAAAAATTACTAACTAATTAAAGTAATGACATGCCTAAAAGATAGACTATAGATCTGGTGCAACTAATTGCATATAATTGAGGATACTGAACATGATCTAGTAAAATGAAATAAAAAACTGATTCTGGAAAAACCATATCATATATGTTTGGGACTAAGTGGTAGAAGTCTAATGAATTTTCCCTATAGTACATAAAAATTGTAATAGTTCCATGCGTTCCAGAGAAAAGGTGGAAAATTTAAAATTAATTTAATGAAAACCACTCGTGTAAAAAAGTTAAGGATATGAATGGGATTTGGGTACATTTCCATACTTGTGGAAATGAATTTTAAACCTAAAACAACTCAGGAAAAAAACCATGATTTCCTGGCAGGGGGAGCTAAGAGGACAGAGAAGATGCAGAGGATGTTAAACAGTAGAGAATGTTCTAGAACAAATGCTAGAGTGACTCCAAAACACCCTGGGGTATTTTTCTCATTCTGATCAATCCTTATTTACATTTCTTGGAGACAAATGGTACAGTTGAGCACCTCATTTCTACACGTGACACAAAATAATAAGAGCCACCAACCTGCTAAGAACTCAGAGCCAGAGGGAGCATGTGTGTGTCATGCCGAGTGGGTGGTGTGGCCGTGCCAGCTCTGAGAATGGCTGGAGCCGCATAATGCTTCCAGGTAACCTACTGGAGATTCACTGGCGCATCTCCGTGTAACCTTTCCATTTTAAGCAGTTATTTTAATGAATCTTAAGTGGCAATGGATGACTTGACACCTCTAGGCAACAGAAAAACACAAGTAAAATCTGTCTAATGTGATTTGTTAGCTCTCAGCTCAAATCGAGTTCTAATAAGGTAGCAGAAACCTGAAGTGGTTTAAGAGTATTGGCTAACTGCTCTCTAAGTGAGCAGATAGCCAGAGGTCAGTCCGTGCTCCTCCCCAGGGAATGGTACACTGTTCCATAATTTTAAGGGATTATTTTTTTGAGAATTTATCGGTGTGAATTTGAATAAAAAAACAAAATAACAAAACCCAACAGTTTTTTTCTCTGCCTTGTGATGTATGTAAGTTAGGAGAACATCATTGTGTGGTATCTCTTTTCCCTGACTTCCCTGTACCCAATTTGGGGAGAGTCTTCCACAGCAGTTCCAGTGAGGTGGGGGCCGTCCTGTGGTGACAAGCAGGGCAAGCTACTGGAGAGGTCTACAGACAGTGACAGGGCAGCGACCAGGTAATAGTTTCCGTTAGATGACTCCATTGGATCAGAAGAAGAAAAGACTTCATAGTACCGTTGATCTTTCACTTGGCAAAATGTTTAGACTATTACATTTGTATTTGCAGTAATTTTTTCATTTTTCTATTCTAGAATATGAGATTCTATTTCTCCCTTCCCCCCTTTTTGCATTTTAAGGTTCTCCTCTTTCCTTTTTTAAAAAACCTTCAGAAAAGCATCTGTTTCCCAAGAATTAAGGAATTGTTTATTTATCCAACAAACTTTATTGAGTAATTGGACCCCTTGTTAAATCAATTTTTGTTTTTTTCTATTTTGAAGCTCATCTCTTAGGTACATATACGTTTAAAATCACTATGCCTTCTCAATGAATTGGCCCTTTATCATTATGAAAGGCTCTTCTTTATTTTTGGTAATATTTCTTATCTTGAAACTTATTTTTGATATTAATATTGCTATACCAACTTATGCTTAATGTTTGCATCCATTTACTTTTAACAAACGTATATCTTTATACTTAAAGTGCTTTTCGCTTGTTTGATTTTTAAATGCAATCTGTTAGTCTCTGACTTTTAATTGGAGAGTTTAAACCATTTTCATTTAATGTAATTATAAACATTTGTTGGATTAAAGTTTGATATCTTATTGTTTTCTCTGCCTCATCTATTCATTGTTCCTTTTACTTACTATATGACTTTTTCTTTCTGATCGCCTCGATCGTGTTAGTATTCCATTTTATTTCCACCATTGGCTTATTAGTTGTGATAAACAGAATTTCTAAATTGTCCACCAAAGAGGTCCCACTCTAGTCTCGAGAACCTGAGAATTAATGAGCTACAACTCCTCTGATTGTGTTCATCCTAGGAAAGGGACATTACCATGTAGACCTGATCTCCCCACATGAGGCCTTAAAGGCAGAAAGCTGTTTCAGGTCAACAGCAAAAGAGGAAGGCAGAAGGGAAAGTTAGAGATATCCGAAGCATGAAAAGGATTTGAATTCTAACATCTAAAGTCATAAGATATGCTATGGAACATGTTTCCAAGTGTAAAATTATTCCCTGAGTCATTCAAATCATTTCTGGTCATCACAACATGATTCTTGCCAACCGTTCGGTTTTGCCACGCTCAGTTGGAGAAGTCTTAGCTTCTCCTACTCTGGTATTTCTGGTTCTAGAAAGAACAATAAACCTTAAGTCATTGAAGCTAAAAGAGAGGCCAAGTTATTAGGAAGAATATGGCATTACTTCGACAAGATTGGCTAATAATAGAAGGATTTGGTGAGCTCCGAAGAGCCCAGTGTGTTGTATATAAACATACTGCAGGACTTCTATTTACATATAGTGGTGGAGTCTCCATTACGGGGAATTTTCAAAGTGGCTTCGGGAAGAGTTTGAACAGAATGAACTACAGTGCATGTGTCAGTGCCGTGCTAAGGGATAGGCCCGGGTAACTGTGAGGCTCCTTCTTCCCTTTGTTCTGTGCCTCAGTGGGGAACCCATGCACAGAGCTTTCACCGGTTCTTTCCACTGCCACCATGGAAATTTACCAAAAAAATTACGGTTTTTAAGCAGGTAATAAGTAAAATTGTATCTTTTACAAATAACTACATCATCAAGAAATTATTTCTGGTAGAAGAAACCAGAATAATATTCGTGAATCTCTTATTAGTGATAAATGAGCATGACTTTGAGCCCAGGGGTTGTGTGTTCTGCCCTTTTCATAATTTTAATTATCATTGCCCAGCTGCGTTACAGTATGCTGACTGCCTCCACTCATAGCTCTGAATCATCAATACTTTACCCCCACTTTAGGAATTTCACAAATAACTGGGCTGTAGCATTTCAGTGTTCTCCCTCTGTGACAGTGCAAATTAAACATAACTAAGGTAAGTAATTCAGTCTGTAACTGATTTGGGAACGTACAGTTGGTCACTTTATTTTGGGGAAATGATGAGAGTATCTAAGTTTACAATGCTTTATGAAGATTTAAAACGGAAGATTCATAAAAACGGAAAACCTGAGAAAGAGGTCATTTAGTTCAAGTTTGACAACAAAAATTTGCTTGATTATTGCAGTCAGTCGATTTCTCTATGACTCACAGACGAGAAGCTTTCTACCACTTCATTTGGTAAAAATTTCTGAATCTAAAAGATGAAAGCATTCACATTCAGGCTGAATTATCTCATTTATTATTCAGGCTACCCTGATCCTGTTCTTTGCACATCTTAGATGTTTGTTAAATCCCACTAGTCAATATAACTGGACCACAGGTGTGATATCTTAAAACAATGGGCCTGTCATTTTGATAATTGATGTTCCCTTCTCTTGAACCCCTTGTGTGCATGCATGTTTTGCATTTGTCCTTAGATGAACAAAAATGGAAGTAATGGTATTAAGATGAATTTTCTCGCCTATCTTTCTCCTTTTTCATGTGTATGGCCAGTTTTTTAAATGTGCTTCTGATCCCCTCGTATCATGTGTTGTGTTGCAAACATGTAGCTTGTTTGCCGTTGGGCAGCTTGGGCCTCTGTAGAGGTCATGGACTGATACCAGCTGTTGTCTCCCTGCAGGTGATCCAGGCTGTCTTTTTCGGCATCTGTGTGCTGACTGACCTTTCCAGTCTTCTGACTAGAGGGAGTGGGAACCAGGAACAAGAGAGGCAACTCAAGAAGCTCATCTCTCTTCGGGACTGGATGTTAGCTGTGCTGGCCTTTCCCGTTGGGGTTGTGAGTACGATGTAGAATACACTTAACCGCAAAAGCAACTTGGGTCTTATTGCAGACTTCTCAGGGGGAAAAGGGCTCATTATAGGAGGTTGCAATATTAGTTTGCTGTAACGGCCATCACAAAGCACCACAGATTGGGTGGCTTAAACAAAAGAATTCATTTTCTCACAGTTCTGGAGGCTAGAAGTGTGAGATCAAAGTGTCAGCAAAGTCGATTTCTTCTGAGGTCTCTCTCCCTGGCTTATAAGTGGGTTCTTCGCTCTGTGTATCTGTGTCTCACGCGCCTCTTCTTATACAGACACATATTGGATTAGGGCCCCCAATGACCTCATTTAATCTTAATTTTTCTCTTTAAAGGCCCTACCTCTAAATACAGTCTGAGGTACTGTGAGGTTAGGACTTCAGAATATGAATTTTTAGGGGGTGGGGGACACACTTCAACAGTTTCTTAACCTGCCCGAACTTGAAATGTGTGGTCCTTGGGTCTATGATCATTCTAGTATTTTTGAACTTGGGAAAGATGAAATCAGCATTAACTCATACTTCTTCAGTTACCCAGCTGTGTTACCCATTAGCTAATATCACTTAAGTAAATGTTCTGAACATGTTTGGGTCTGTCTGAAACATAAACCATGTTTCTTTAAAGAGCCAGGGACCCGTGAGATTCTATAGATTTTTTCACCTGTGTAGAGCCAGGAGAATGAGAGAACTCATAAATCTCAAATTGTGAGTGCAAGTAAGAGTGTATTACCTAATTCAGACTCAGGCCTTTTCATTTGCCAGCTGATTTCCGGGACTAGCAGACACACACCCAAGTGACCTGGGCTGGCACAGGCACCACAGCCAAGGTTCAGGGTAGTAAGGGTCAGGAAGTCGTTTGTAAACCCTTTTACATGTTTTTCAGATCTACAGCTGGTGGAAGCCTCTACATGCTTGTTCTAAGACCAATTAGTGAATTGCTTTTCTTCATGTACTGAGTTATATGTTCTTAGATAAAATATCCCTTAGCTCTTGACAACAACCCAAGGGGTGCATTATAATCTGGTCACTCCTCTTCTCATTCGCTCGCCTTTATCCCCCGAAAACCTAAATAGGTGCTCAGATTGGTGCATCTAGCAAATTTCTCAAATTCTGTTGCTTAACAGAGTTAAATGTTTTATGTAGTACTTAGTATTTCCTTCTTTGGACTTGCCTTAAAAAATTCAAATGCTTTCTGTCAAAGTAGTCATCTCAGAGAAAATTGCCATTGGCATAAGGTAATAAAATCATATACTTCCTGCGTAAAAGAGTTACCTAGAAAATTTAAGCCTGTACACTTTTTTGTTTCTTTTTATCCCTTACTCCCTTGGTATTTCTATAGACGTTGCCATTGCCTCTGGAATTCTTCCTCCGCTGGAAGGAATGAATAGTAACATAATACAAAAGCAAATAGGAATACAGGGCGTAGACTGTGAGTCTTGTCACTCTCATTAACAGCTCATTACATATGCCCTTTAGGCATTTTGACATGACTTTGGCCAGAAACTTTTTGCACCTGCTTGACACTTGAGGTATTTGTCAGCTTTCAGTGTCCTTCCTGAATTTGGTTCATGTATGCTTCCCCTCCCCCCCCACCTCCCCCCCCACTTAATATTAAGAAGAATCCTGGCCAGTAGTCTCCAGAAATCTCCTTATGTTTTCCACTATTTCTCACTCTTTCATTTGACTTTTTTTTTTTTTTATTAAATATATCTTTATTGATTTCAGAGAGAAGAAAGGAGAAGGAGAGAGAGAGAGAAACATCAATGATGAATCATTGATCGAACCCACAACCGGGCATGTGCCCTGACCGGGAATCGAACCCCGATCGCCTGGATCCTAGGTCGACGCTCAACCGCTGAGCCACGCCCGGACGGGCCATTTGACTTTTTATACCTATTTATCCAATTTCTACTAGATTCCTCACTCTAATACACACAAATTCACTTTGAGGCCAAACTGGCAAACAGCTTCTTCCCAGATCCCATTAATTTTATTGCAAAGTCATATTTACAGAGGATATTAATTTGGCTTTTTATACACTTTTAACCTCTTAAATAACAAAAATTTAACCTGATGTAGGGGATCAGGTTGACTTTATTCAGTGATTCATGAATTGGACAGTATCCCATTTAGCAAATAGAAAGGAGCTGCACAGAGCTATGGAAAAGGAAAGGTTCTTTAAAGGCGGAAAGAGGGTGGAAAAAGGAAATTATTAGGAAAGAATGTGTTGTTTCAGGCACGGTTGCCCTCCTAAGGGGAACAGAAGGGGCCTATGGGCTGGATTATCTCACTGATGCTGACCAGGTCACTCCATGTTAACTGGTTAAAGTTGCATTTCTGGCAAGCTAGCATCGGTATTAAATCTTGGTTTGCTGACATGGGGCCTAGCACAAGTAACAGCATTTTGGGTCTGTTGTCTCTCTTTTAACAAATCCAAAATATTTTCTTCATCAAAACATATAATTTTATAATGTTGTTGCCTTCCTTTCCCCAAGGTTATTTCCCAGGTCTCTTTTCCTTGTCTTTGCTGGGACCTCAGAGCTGTCCCTGCCCCTCTGTATCTCCTCTCAGAACCCCCAGCTGCTCGGTGGGTCCTGGAAGTCACTGTAGTTTTAGCTCTGTCACTTAAGATTTTCTTCCTTATTGAAATGTGAACCCTTCCTGGAGCAGTGCCACAAGGAATCACTTGAAGAGGGGTCATCTTTACTCTTCCTGTGGCTCCTGGCCTGGAGTGAGGTGCCAGCCTGAGAGTTTCTTGCATGAGAAAGATGGGAATAGCACTAGCGCCCAGGACCTGGGGAGCACCTCGTTTTACATGTAGGAATCTATAGTGTAAGAATGTTGATCATAGGAGCAAATGATTAATTATAACATTTGTAATTAAGCACCTTTAACCATGTTGGTTGACACAGTCAAAACCCTGAAGGGTAAAACACCGGAGCACTCACCCCGGAGCCTTGGGCGCGGCTTCGGCTTCTTGAGGAGGAGGGGGCAGAGCCGCTGGGACCCCACCGGTGGTCCCTCCAGGCCTCAGGCTCTGACTGCAGGTGACTGCCAGCCTCCCAGACTGCCTCCCCTGCCGCCTTCTGCTGGCCTCCTCTGCCCAGCGCCTTTTGTTCTTGAACCAGAAGTTTGCGGGGGTAAAAAATTGTTATGTTTGCTTCCTGGTGCAGGGCAAAAGGGCAGTGGGCATAACTAGAGGGCAGAGTGGTAGCTGAATTTATCGCCTTCGCTCAAATTTTCCTGAAGAGACCTCTCAACCCCAAGCTTTTCTTGGTGCTTCCATTATCTCTCTCTCTCACCTCGGCTGCATCTGTGGCAGCAAGAAAGACACAGTAGGTTATCTAAGATTTGTATTTTCTACACTAATGCTTCCTCCAAAAATGAGGTTAATTGAGAGTTGACAGTAATTGCTTTACGCGGGCACGAGGCACTCGGTATGATTTCGTGACCCGGGACCTAATGCGTCTACTGCCTGGACTCTCTCCATCTCAAGGATGTATAAAAATAATGAAAAGTTCCAATCAAAGATAACTGAAGTAAAGTTTGTTTCAGCATGACCTTGAGAAAATCAGGGAGGGTGGCCTGAGTGAACAGAGCCCTTGTCAGCCTGATCCGAGTAGGTTCCCATAAATGCTAAGCTGGCCCCGGTTAGTTACGCTAATGCCCGGAAACCACCGCCGCTCCCACAGCCTTGCCTCTCACTTCGCAGGCATAGCCCAGGGGAGGCTCCTCTTACCACGTGCAGTTTATTTCTGAACCTGCCACCCTTTTAAAGGAGCATTACAGACAATTCTATGACATTATGTGGTCTGGATGCACCGACGCTGATAAGGAGGAATCCAACTAAGAATGTCTTTTGTCTCCTGTGAGTTAGTTGACTTTTCCGCTGGAAGATAAGCTTCGGGTTGAGAGAATAGGCTAAGGTGTCAACAGCAACAAAAAATGAAGAAGCAGAGGAAGAGCAGCCAAAAAATGAGGATGATGACTGTGAAATTGCCCCCTCTCAAAAGTCCTACCTGTGACTGCAGCTGCTGTGCTGAGCAGCCCTTTCAATGACAAAGGACAGTCGTATGTTTTCCATTAATTCAAGCCCATGCATCCCATTCAACTGCAGCGGCTCAGCTTGCCTAATACTCATAATCCAGGCTCATCAGCTCCCCGGTGCTCTCATCCCTGGTGCTCCTTGGTTGCTCTAGATCAGATGCTGGCTGATCCCAAACTAACCTTGGCCCACTCAGGGTGAAGATGGGGGGTGTCCCTCCCTCAATAAAGAGGGAACGGGTCCAGGAACGGGTCCAGGAATGTCCTAACCCGCGATGAGCATCTAGTACATAAGGAACAATCTGGCATGTACCAGGACGAACTTTTTTGAAATTTGGCCATCAACATAAACCATTTCTGGCATTATAATCATGTTCTTCTGAACACTTAGTGAATATTTTATATGTACCGACTTATTCTAGAATCCGTATTTAAAACTTGTTTTCATCCTTGTGAACACATGGATTATGGACTTTGAAGTCTCAAATGCAAACTCAAAGAAAACGTATCTAGGAATTATCTTTTAAAAAATGTTTCTTGAAAATCTTCATGTATTGACACACTAGCTAACTCTAAGAGAGCCTTAAGAAAAATTTTGTGATGCGATACATTTAGATTTTCATACCTTTCCAATTTAAAATACATTATTTTTATTTCTGAGTTTTTAAAAGTAAGAGTTTGATTTAAATGGAAAGCAATCATATTAAATATTAATTACTAATATTAATGTCTGTTAATATAATACACAGGGAAGGGAATTTGATTCTATTTGAGACTATAAATAAAAGCAAATGCCTTTCCTTGTGGGGAAATTTTTTAAAAGCACATTGTTTAATTTATTCTACAAACTCTACATTTAATTTAAAAATACACCTAATATCCGCTGATCCACTCTTTATTAAATTTTCACATAGGTACCTACAATCAACTTCTTT